AAATTATAAAATTTATTGAGTATTTAGAAAGGATTATCTGCTGATAAAACTCAATTCCAGTCTATAATTGGATCAAAGTTAAAGGAAAACACGAAGTAGGAATGGGCAGAACAATGGTCACGCCCACTTTGGGGTTGCACCGTGTCGAAAACCACCAAGTGTTGTAATATTACCCACCCATTCCTACCTTCTTTCCTTACCTTTTGGTGCTTACATTCTTACTTCTTAATATTATTTTTAATAAAATTACATTTGTCTCATAGTTTTTTTCTCTGTGTGTGTGTGCTAATTCTCGAGAGTGACTTTGCTCTAGGCCTATCCTTCTTGTAGCTTTTCTTGGTGCTGAGTCTCGAGAGTGACTGGGCTCTTGGCCTGTCCTTTTCATAACTTTTTTAGAGCTATCTCTCAACATTTCCTGGCTTTTGCTGATATCTTTGCTATAGATTTTCTTCCATTCTAGCCAGAGTGGCTGAGGCTTGTTAAACAACTTATCGTTCTTGTTTTCAATCTTGAGCAATTGTGCATCCGCACGTGACATGACGGTGGATTCTTATTTGGCAACTCACAGAGTGTGTTCGTAATCATAGATTATGACTACTAATGCATTTCTAGCTCGTTGGTAGTTTTGCAAAATGTTTATTTTATTACTTATTATTATATAGGTTATAATTAAAACTAAGAAAAATGCTTTCAGCCATGGTAGCGTAATTCAATCATGTGCATTTCGATTTGCATAAGGTGAAGACAGGAGAGAGCTATGCCTTTCCAACACCGTTTGTGAATCAGTCAGATTGATATTTTTTTTTTGTTTTTACTCGACTGACTTTCCCAAGTACTTTAGTGGCTTGTTACTCTGTAGTTGGTTTGTTTACATGCTGTTTGCAGTGTGTGTAAAGTGCTTTGTAAAGTTTTGGTTACATGCTGTTTGCAGTGTTTGTGATTTTAACTTGTATTGCACATCTGGCCCATTCCTACTATAAGTATTATCGTATTTATGATACAGAATCTACACGGAGGAAGTCCTCCGTACACACCATTTCATCCCTTGATAGAACCTAATTACGATATCATTCGCAATTAGTTGGAATTCCTATTGATATCTCAATATTATCAGGATGAAGTGAATAAAGTTGTACGTATGTTGCTGCATTTTAATGTTTTTTTTTATTAGGATAATGGGTTGGTTTTCATCTGATCCTCATCAATAGATCAAGCATGGCGGGTAACACTAGGCACTTAGCAAAAATGGAGCAAACAATATGGTAACGTGGATTTCGCGCAAAGCTACACAAGAGCTATCTGCAATAGCTGTCCCAAATTTAGCAATGAAAGACTAGAAGGAAGGCAGCTAGTCATCATCACCCACCGCCAACTTCTTTTACCAACGAATAGTGGGATTGACCGTCACATTATAACGCCCCCACAGCTGAAAGGTCGAGCACATTCGGTGGGACGGGGATTCGAACCCGTGACGCTCATATTGCGAATCGAGCTCCCTAACCACCTGGCCTAACGTGGATGTTATAGTTCTCATAAGGGGTGTTTTTAACAGCAAAACACAGCTATTATAATATATATATATATATAAATATACTTAAATAATATACTTAAAAATAACGCATTTATCTTTTACATAAATTACTTTATATCCCACGTTTCAACTGTTCTGCCACAAAACACGTTTTCAAATACACATAAATATCTTAAACTAATTACACATTTTTTTTCCCCTCAAAATGTACAAACATAAAATACAATCCTTATAGAAATTAAACAGATTAAAATATAATCACAAATAAATTAGTTAAAGGTTTATCAGACATACTTCTTTTCATTCCTTTATAATTTTTATTTTGACTAAAACTTTATACTTTCTTCCGTTATTACATAAACGCCGTTTATTTACATAATCTTTAACAACACAAGATATACCTCTACCATACTTGATTGTTCTTCCCTGTAACTCCTAGTCAGAGTTTTACAGTTGTACAATTCCAACTGATCTTAATGAACAACTGTTATTCTTAGCTAATTACCTCTAGTGTCAAAAAAACAACAACACCCAACAAAACTTTTGAAATATTTTTCGGAAATTAATATTTTATACTTTATATTTCATGCCCGGAAAAGTAAACGTATTAAAATACGGTTATTTGATGTTTATTTGTTTGTAATTAAGCACAAAGCTACACAATGGGCTATCTGTGCTCACCCACCACGGGTATCGAATACCCGGTTTCTAGCGTTGTAAGTCTGCAGACATACCGCTGTATCACTTTCCGAATTTTAAGTTTGCTGAAAATACGTTCATGAAAATAAAGTCGCGAAACCGAAACCGGTAGAAACTATTGAGAAAGAAATCAAAGTGAAACATGATTAAATTTGTTTGTAAATAAAGTATTGTAATATATTATATTATTGTATATATTATAAAGTATTTGTTCTGGACAATATATATATATATAAAGCTAATAGTTAATATCCTGGGTTTATTAGGCATTCATACCTGTTCTAAACTTTAAATTATGCCTTATTTGAAAACCGTGGGGTGGCATATTCCTCAGCGTGCTAGTAAAGTGATTTTTATGGATAGGGGTTTGCGTACCGTTTTGACAAAAATAAGCTGAACAATCGAATCCTATTAATTATCAGGTTAGATAAATGCTGCCCAAGATTTACAGGCACTGTTGACTAGCTCCCATCCTTCTATTCTAGCAGTTTAAAAATAGAAATGTATAAGCGGAGATTTCCTTTGGGTAGCTTTACGGGAAACTTATAAACAAACAAATCGCTCAACGGTCCGATTTGTATTGGTGCTAAAAATCACTGCGATCTGATAATAATGTAGTGTTGAGTTTTAATATGTTTAGTACTAGGATGAGCTACAAGTAAGTATATAATCACGATATGTTTAGTACTAGGATGAGCCATATTTACTTGTAGCTCATCCTAGTACTAAACGTATCGTGATTATATACTTACTTGTAGCTCATCCTAGTACTAAACATATCGTGATTCTATACTTACTTGTGGCTCATCCTAGTACTAAACGTATCGTGATTATATACTTACTTGTAAAAATCACGATACGTTTAGTACTAGGATGAGCTACAAGTAAGTATATAATCACGATACGTTTAGTACTAGGATGAGCTACAAGTAAGTATATAATCACGATACGTTTAGTACTAGGATGAGCCACAAGTAAGTATAGAATCACGATATG